CGATCTGTGTGTGAACACGTGCACGTTGGCGCGATCTGTGTGTGAACGCGTGCACATTGGCGTGATGCGGTGCCCGCTGTAGTTGTGTGCCATCCCACCTACCTGCCCTGCTCAACCAGTGCCCGGGCACTGGGGCAGGACCGAGATGCAGACGCAGCGTCGGTGCTGACAGAAGAGGTTTGGGGACGGCAGGAGAGTCCCAGGCAGGGGAGAGCTCACGTACATCCCGGAGCGTCCTTGTGACGGGGCACATCCAGCCATTCCCCCGGCCAGAGCGGAGCACAGGCACCCACACGGGGGGGGGTCGTGGGGGGCCTCCAGGACCCGGTCAGGGCCTCGACACCTATGTTAGCGTCCACAGGCATGCGCGGTAAATGGCTTTCAGGAGGCCGTCTGCAGCTGAGTAACCATCCACACCAGACTGTGGTGTGGAACAGGTGGGGAGAGAGGGAGCTGGAGCCACCAAGGCAAACCCTGTCACGCTGCCCGGAACACACACACACCACATGCACCTTTTACCCGAAAGGCGCTCGTGCCCTGGTCCAACGGGGACGCAAGAAACAAGGCAGCCAGCTCCCTCCTGGCCACATGGACAGCTGGTGCTGCTCGGCGAGCGTGGCCTGACGGGCGTCTGGTGGGATCCCGCCTGCAAGCGCGCAGCCCTGCACGGGCAGATGCCTCAGTCCCTCTGAGTCTGTTTTGGATTCAGAAAGTGCCTGGGCTGGGGACAGAGCCAGTTACACTAAACTCAGTTCCGTGGCTTACGGTACAACCACAGATGCCTTGTCCCAAGCCCATGGACTCGTGGCCAAAGACACTTTGCACCATTTGAGCTTGGAAACAGGAGAAATGGAATCACAGGGAGGCTGAGGAGGGAGCCGAGGGGCTGCGTGACAGCACGAGACGGCTACCCTTCCCGCACGCAAGCTCCATCTCACGCAGTTGCTGTGTGTCTGGAAGAATCTTGCGTGAGGATTACTGATTCCATGGGATGACATGTGGCCCCCCGTGGCCCCCTTCTTCTGCAGCACCCTGACTCCATGGGGGACTCCCAGCCTCCTACTCAACACCACGAGGCAGCCCCACTGCCAAATGGCCAGGGTGCATGTGCCGGGACTTTAGGAGCCAGGAACGGACATTCGGGACCTGCTGCCTCTGGTGATAGCCCCTCGGGGTCTGAGAGGAGGATGTTGGGTTGAGGGCTGGGTGGGGACGATGCTCTGGGTGGTGTCTCCAGGGTCTCCAGGATGAGAGGGAGACCCCTGCAGCCCTTCACACGGGCCCCTGGAATCCCAGGGCAGGGAGTGGCAGAACAGGCCGGCGGTGGCTGGACGAGGAGAGGAGGGAGGGAGGGGGGAGGGGAGCCGGAGATGGAGACAGAGATGGAGCGGAGGCCACGGACTGCGTGGGGGGCAGCTGCGCCGCAGGAAACAGGGAGCAACATGGATGCCAGCAGGACGGGCACAGAGGAGAAAGGAGAGGACCCAGTGACCGGGTGAAGGAGTGACTGCTGCCCAGCACGGAGAAGAGTCAGGCAGGGAGCGCAGGCCAGGCTGCACACACCCTGGGAAGGGGGAGCAGGTCAGGAACGGGAGGGGGGTCCCCAACCTCAGAAAAGGTCCCAGGCTGGCCCTCTTTGGCCAGTTCCACATGGCTGCATGTGTATTGTCCAAAGCTGAGGCCACTCTGACGTGGAATTGACACTACATGGCACAGTGGAGCACGGCTCAGGTGTCTGGACGATAGGCCGGCCCCGCCCCCGCAGCCGGGGTCCTGAGGCCGGGATGTGCTTCTCCTCGCTTCCTTCTCTGCGGAGTGAGCCTGAGCTGCTCAGAACCCAGGCTCCACTCCGTCCTGGGGGAGATGCTCAGCCGCCCGCCGTGCTGCTGGCACCTGGATGGGCAGGCCCATGGGAAACACAGGTGCCCCCAGCAGCTCGTCACGCCACGCATTCACAGACACAGGCTCTGTCAGAAACACTGACGTCCAATCATCTGTAACGTTCTGAAGGTATTTTGGTTTACGAGAAGGAAAATATTGATGTGAGAGAGAAAGAAGGGCGGGCCCGTGATAAGCAGAGAAATACGAATTCCGTGGATAGCTCTGGGATCTGATAGCTGTAGATTTGGAAAGGAAAAGAAATATTTGAGGAGACACCACAGCATTAGTGGACAAGGAAAACATGGACCAGTCTCACCGGCGCTTGCATTTCGTTTCTGTTTGCATGTTCCCACCACTCTGCTAATCCTGGGTGTTTAAAATGATATTTGGTGGCACAGAAACTGACTTCATGTCTCCCCAGCAGCCACCAAAGGATGCCGGCGGCGGCGGGTGGGTGGGCGTGGGGAGCCCGGGGCTGGGGCGGCCCTCCCCTCCGCTGCGGATGCCAGCGAAATTACACAGGCCCTCCAGTCCTTCTGTGTAAAGCCATGGCTGTTGTTTTATCTTCACACATTTAAGTCTTTTATTTTAATCAGAAGAATGTGAAGGAAAATGCTTATTTTAAAATCACTGGCGTTCGTGGAAGTGCGTGGACACGCATTTCTATAATCAATGCCTGTTCCTGTCCCCGGGCCAGGGTTGAGGCATGGGAGGAATGGGTGGGAAAGAGACCACGGGCTGCAGCCACCTCAGTGCCTCCCACCTCCCATGGGATGCCAACAGGTGTCCCAAGGCTAATGCAGAGTCGTTTCAGGTAGGTGGGGTAGGTGCCAAGTGAAGGGAGCCGGACATGCCTCTCCACGCTGCACCCCTTGGGGTCTCCCCGTGCACACCTGCCCCGTGATGCCCGAGGAGTGGACTCAGTATGTGCCTCTCCCAAGCTCACCTGGCTGCGGAGCCCTCTCTCTGGCCTCTGTTCACAGAGGTGACCTTACAGGGTGGGTGTTGTCACCTTTTGAGAAATGCCATAGCTCAATCCTCATGCTTTTGTAGGAGAAAACTGGGTCCCAGAAAGGTTAAAAGCTCTGTCCAAAGTGATAAACCTCATTGCTGGCAGAGCCAGACTCACTCCCAGATCTGTCTCTTAACACTCTGCCGGACCCATCCCCGCACCCTGCACCTCGAGTCTAAGCCTCCCACGCCGTCTGCACACACCGCTGCTCCCCCAGGCCAGTCCCTCTCCCGCCACGGCCCAAGTCTAAGCCTCCCATGCCGTCTCTGAGAGGAAAGCCTCCCACAGCAAACAGAGATTCCCTAGGTAAGGAGGACATCACAGAGCGCTGAAAGGCTCATTTGCGGTGGGGTGATTGACATTTGATGGCAATGACTGACGGATATTTTGAGTGTGACTCTAGTGTGAACATTATTTTCACAACAGGTGAGTTACACTAAATACTGCAGTGACCTCCGAGCAGCAACAGCACTGGAGGGCCCAAGGGCGCTTCTCCACGGCTCTGAGCTTAACGCTGTGGCGCATGCAGCAAACGCCTGTCAAGGGCCCACAGAGGCAGATGGCAAAGGACCCACTGTGTGCTCAGCACTCAGAGGGAGATGGCAAAGGACCCACCGTGCGCTCAGCACTCAGAGGCAGGCAGATGATAAAGAACCCACTGTGCACTCAGCACACAGAGGCAGATGACAAGGGACCCACCATGCGTTCAGCACACAGAAGCAGATGATAAAGAACCCACTGTGCACTCAGCACTCAGAGGCAGATGACAAAGGTCCAGCCTGGAAGCAAACGTGCTTTGCTGCCAAACACCTTCCTACAGCCCAGCAGAGGGACAACAAACAGCGAATTTTTTCCAGGGCTCCCGTGAGCGCTGCACCCCATGTTGCTGTGGCAACACCACCCCAGCTGTGAGCCACCACAGAGCGGCCCTGTCTGCGTCTCACCTTTGGCCATCTTGTTGAGAACCATGTCGATCAGGACGTAGGTGCCGCTCCGGCCTGCTCCGTCACTGTCAACAGAAGGAGAGAGATGAGTGTGCTGCCGTCGCCCGGAAGCCCGACCCCCGCAAAGCCAGTGGCCGTCCATCTCCTTCGCCCTAGGAGGGGCCGGCCAGAGGGGAGGAAGGGTGTGGGCTGGGAGAACCCCAGTGAGCGGAGGAGGAGGACGCTGGGGGCCTCAGGCCGGCGGGATGAGCGGCCGCGCTCAGCAGAATTTTCCTCTTCCTTGCTCCCCTGTCTCTGGCCAAAGATGTGGTAAATTTTGCAAGAAGATGATGAACTAAATGTCTGACTGTGTCAGAGTTGATGCCATTTGTATCGAAAATATCTGCAGCGTGCTTTCCCTGGGATTGCTGGGCAACCTCCCGAGCAGAGAGGGGAGGGTGCCGGGCGGCCGGGCGGCTGCTCACGCAGGCTGGCACACTTCGGGCATGTCCCCCAGGCCGCCCGCCGCCCTTTCTAAACAGGGGTCCTCCCTCTCGGAAGGAGACACTGACGTCACTGTCGTTACTCAATCGAATTCTTTAAGAAGCCTCTCATTTCACCTCTTTCTCATCCCATGAGCTATAATTGAAATATTTACCATCTGGGCTAGAGTTGTAAAAATGTTTTGAATAATACCTCAACAATAGCAAAGAAAAAAAAAAAGAAAATTCCCTCTTTTTCCAGAAGAAGAGCAGCCTCAGCGCCATTCCTTTGTGAGGAATGTCGGGGGACCGTTTCCCGCCCCATGCAGACGTGGTCACTGGGTTGCATGAGTTGGAGAGACCCTCTTAAAAGCAAATAGGGCTTGTTCTCACATCTGTGACTGGCTTTTAAATGGAGGACCTTTTACATTTTTAATCCTAGCAAAATCGATCGTGACTTTGAGAAAAAAATACACATTTCCATTTCAAGCCTTCAGGAATGAAGTGAGCACCGGCAGACGGCCGGCTTTCAGCTCCGCTCTCCGCGCCATCTGCAATCCCAAGAAATGACTGGAAGCCGACAGGTGGATCTTGTGATCGTAAAGCATCAGGGCGTTTTGGTTTTAACATGTTTCCTCAAACAAACGGTTGGAAAAAGCTGCAGTTGGGAAGGCAAAGGCTTCACAAACGGCCCGTTCACATGGTCACACCCTCGTGGCCTCAGCAAGGAGGAGAGGCGGTCGGCCTGGGCCGTGAGAGCACCCTGACCGCCAACTGCAAAGGGCCACGGCGAGCACCCTGGGCGCTGGGTGCTTTCTCCCTTGTCTTCTATGCACAGCGTATATTCACATGAATGTTTTAAGATATACTACAAAAACCTTCCAACTAAGAGTAGCTCGTCTTGATACATTTGTGGGTAAAAGATGTTCTGCTCCACTCTCTGAGGATGACAAGCCACAATCTGTTTTCACCCTCCTCTCTCCCAGACAGGAACGCACACAGACACACACGCTTCCCGGTTGGAAGCTCACCCTCCTCTACAGACACACAC